TATTAGAGGCAGATAATTGCTTGGCACTAGATTGCCAATAAATACGGACAGTTGCTGCTCAACAGGTGTAAACTCAGTGAAGTTGGGCTTTATTTGCAGGGGTGGTAATGCTTCCAGTTCTTCAGCTGTGGTGGGTTTGGCAATTAGGAATGGTGAAGGCAGAGCCCTTAGCACCACACCTGTGCTCCCACAGCCTGGGCAGTAGTGGCAGCTCCTGTGGTGGCTGCTGAACCGCCCTCCTCCAAGCATCTCTGCGCTGGTCCCTGCAGCCCTGGCAGTGAATTGCCTTTGTGCTCTGCAATAAAAGCATCCACAGGGGAAGCCTTCGTGAGGCAGTTTTGTATGACTAGCTAGGGAAGTGGTACCTGGCAGAGAGAGAAATTGTCCTCACCTTCATCTTACCATCTGGCTTCTCAAGCGGTGAGAAAAATAGAGCTGACTGAAAGACAAAAATCTCTCTTAGGAGAACCCTTAGGGTATTTTATGGAGGAGGTGTGGTATTTGTGGAGAGGGAAGGGAGAAAGGAAGGGAGTAGGGAATTGACATGACTGGAGATGAAAAAAAAAATCCAGAAACTTGTTCTGGGAGGAGAGGTCTTGAAAATATCCAGTTCAAAAGAAACTCTCCAAATATTGAATATATATGTCTCTGCAGCCTCCAGCTGATCACATCAGCTTGGTGCCTTCTGTTTCCCATCTCAGCTGAGACAGTGCATGGGAACCCCAGTAGTTGGGGAACCCAGGGCCACAAGCTGTTTGTTTCTCACTGTCTGCAGGTCCCGAGAACTCCATGTGGGCAATCCTAATGCCAACTCAGCTTCACTGTCTGTTTATAAGTAGATCAAGAAATTGATATGCAACGTCGTGATTAACTGGGTCTTCTTGCCTGTGAGAATTAACAAAGAGCAAGTTTATTTCTAATTGAAAAAGCAATGGCAGATTTTTGCTATTCTCCGCAAAGAAAAACTCAATTTACAGACCAATGATAGTCCTTCTCTATGCCTCAGTATCCCTCAACTTATAGGAGTGCCCAGCTTGCTGGAATAGATGAATGAACAATCGCTGGAGTGGAAGAGCTGCATCCTTCAGTGACAGCAGTGGCTGTCAGAGCAGCACTCTGAGGAAGCAAGACCCAGATCAGAGCCTATAGAGGTCCGTAGGAACTTTCATATTTCTTCCATTTACCTTTGGGTCAGGCCATATGTGCAATGAAGTATTGGTGGCAGGGTCTCAGGGTGGATTATCAGGGACAAACAAACTGGGGACATAGTAATCCATGTTGAAAAGCACTTAATTACCCCATATTTAGAGCAGATGACACTGCGGTACGTGTATCACCAATATGTCAGCATGGTTTGCTTTTCATAGGAGTTTATGTTCCCAGCAGGCACCGAATGCTTTTTCTGCCTGATAAATGTCAAGTACTTAAAGCAATCTTGCCTGTTCCTCTCAGGAGATTGCCAAATAATCTCCTTTCATTGGCTATGGGCTCTTGCCAGGGCTTCAGCATTTGTGCACATTTATCCCTGCCAAATGTTGGTAACACAGGAGCTGTACAAATACTCCCTGCTCCTTTTGCTAGCTTTGCACAGCTCTGTTCAGTTTCAGGATTCCTATTTTTTCTTCTGATATTTCAGAGTAGAGCAGGAGTTTGTATGCAGGTGTTCCATAACTGTGGGTGCTCTGAATTCAGCCCTTTCTATTGAGCAGCATTTCAGAGTAAAAACCTTTGTTCAATAAACATAGTGTCTTGAATCATAGCATTCTCAAAGCTAATTCTGTTCATCTCCTGAATGCCCCACTGCAGCTGAAGGAAGTTCCCAATAGGTGTTGTGCAACTCCTTTCTTCCCAATCATAATAAAAGATTTCTTTGCTGCTCTATATCCTCTAGGAAGTCTTACTGCACCAAATGTAAATACTGAGTAGCAGATTGGAGGTAACTCTATAAGGTTTAACAAGTATTTAAAGTATTTAGTTTTAAATTTTAGTTTTAATAGTGCAGTTTATCATGGAGAGAAAAGGATCTTCATAACATATCATCTCCCGGAAATAGATGCTTTAATAAAGGAAACTGGCAGAGAAAGAATGCTTTGAATAGAAAGAGGAAAGCAAATCTTTCACCTTGTCATGTTTTATGCTGTGGATCATACGGCAGGGCCAGATCATTTGACCTTTTTGTTGATAATGTCACCAAGATATTTTAGGCTAATGCTACATGTTGTGCGATGGCAGATGAGAATGCTATGTGTGTCAGTGCAGCAGTTAATTTCAAACCATGCAAAAATACTTTATGAGACAAGACGGCAGAATGTCGCTCATTTTTTCATGACATTTCCTATTTCCTTGTCTATAATGTAATAATGTCTGAAAGTTGTTCGTGTAAACCCCAGCATTTCTGGAGGGGCATAGATCACACAGCAGAACCTCATCAGCTTGCATTAAAATGGTGAAAATAGAAGGAAGAAAGAGGCAAATGATATTTCTAGCAATTTCTTGGAAAACATGGCATTCTTAAGGACTTTTATTTTTAAATAAACATCAGTTGAAACTAGCATTGAATGGCAACCAGCACAGGCACATTTTTTATTACTTTGCTGTCAGTAACATTGCTCCAGATGGAAGAGTGGTGATACAGCTGCACGACAGAGCTTAGGAGATGTAGATGACAGAACAGGGAACATGGATGTAAGAATGGCAGAGGAATGGGAAACACTTATATCTCAGGTATATCTATGCACCATGCACGTTAAGGATGGGCATGGTGCATAGGGAGCTGAAATTTGCAGAAAGCCTCTTCTTCCAACATAGGTGATTTCCAAATGCAGCAAAGTCTGCAACCTGTTAGCTGTTACAAACCAGAGTTCAGGTCCTGTGCAAAATGCTCAGAAGCACTCAGGAATTTTGTGCCAGTCTTATTGACAGCCTCTTCGTTTTAATGACACCAATCTGAAGAAGATTGCATTTGCCAGAGTTGTAAATCAGATTAACGTGTGTGTGGAGAGAGGACTGAGCTCAAGCTGATGTCAGTAGAATTTGTATGAATGTGATATACAAATAATATACTAAATAGAAAGAGAATGGTGGTTTAGCTGGAAGCAGAGCAAGAAAAATCTGATTGTATTGTCAAATACATCAGGAGTAATATTTTCTGTAAAGCCCAAATGATTCACATAGCCTATATCTCATTCCCCAAAGTCTATCATAAGACATTCAAGAAAATTAATTTGGGTTAATTAAAAAGACAAATTTAAAGTACATTAGGATATATCCACAGAGTGAAAACTATCAAGTTACCAAATACGCTTATCTGTAGTAGCTTTTGCATGTCCCTAGCCTGCTCCAAAGTGGAGCACATTAATTGGAACCCTCGTGAAAGTATAATCTCATTCTTTGTGGGTTTTTCTTTTTTTCCTTTCATTTCTGGCTAGTTTTCTTTTTGTTTTTGCTCTGTTGTACATTAGTTATATGTTAGATGCATGTTATTAATGAAGAGCAGTCCTGTTACTTCATTTGTAAGCTCAGGCGTATATCCAAGTCTTCTTAGTCCCAAACAAAGCTAGGATCTTGTTTAACAGCCAATATTTATATGCCTTTTAAGAAGTACTGAAGAATTTTTTAACAGATAAAGCAGAAGGATGACAAAGCAGTAATGCTGGCTTTGAATCTTCCTCTGACACTGACCAAAGCTCATCAGCAAAATGCAGTAGTGCAGGCGCCTTCCCTGGCAGTCAGCATCCTAGCAGGCCATCACAACACTGCCTTGCAGCTGGCAGAGCCACTGGCTTTGGGAATGCACTGGAAGCTGTTTCAAAAAGAATATTTTTAACTCCATGAGTGCTGCTTGTTTGATTTAACATCAGATATATTCACTAGCTGCTGTCTTATTGTTGGGTCAGCACATGGGATCTAGAAATTCTCTGAATTCTGACGTTGCAGTGATAGATCTGTAGCAGCAAATTGCATAGAACCAATACTATCTGGTAAGAACAGAAAGCTACCATTCTAAGCCTGGCATGTAGTTTAGGAGTCTAGGGGAAACTTATCAATGAGGTGCAAGAACTGTTTACCCTACAGGAATACAAAGTAGGCTCAGTATGCATAGTAAATTTCATTTCTGAATTAGTTTGTTGAATCCATGTAGGATAAAAACTGACTTCAGCTAAATATTTGATGAGGTACTCTATTAACCCCAACATTTAGTGAGATATTTTATTAAGTATTTGTGCAGAGAGAACAAAATGAGTTTCATTTGTCTTTAATTCATCAAGGATAATTTTAAGAAATCCTTAACCTTTTCAAATGAATTTCATAATAATATTTTGCTTTCTAATTTCACAGATAAAATGATATGTTGTTTCTAAATAGACATGTTTCAGAAGGATCTCAATCTATGAAGTATTTTGTTTCTCTTGACTTCACTGGAGTCTTGTATGTCCTGAATTCAGGACATTTTGCAATATTTTTTGTTAGCATTTCCTTTCCTTTTCAGTGCTGAGACAATTGTACTTTATGCAAGATGTTACTGTAAGCAAGAAAGTTTTGATTCATCAATGTGTTACTGCAGAATTGCATCACTGTCATTCCAGTGTGAATGTCCAGGATCTTAAGTGTTCTCTTACAGCCATAATGAGTTCATTTGGATACTTAATTTTATGTCTTTGGCAACTTTTGGGGTTTTTAAAATTCCACAGTGATATTTCAAAAGCATAATGATTACAAATGGAAAGTCCTCCTATCCAGAGAGTTTGGTAGAGAACAGTTGTCTCAGAGGAGGGGAAACATTCATTAGCTGCTGACTATTGGAGAGTCACAACCTCTTGGAGGAAGATAAGGAGTATTTTGAATAGGATGCTATTTTTGTAGTGTTGTACTGATACGCTACCAGAAAAAGTCAGCAACAGGTCGATCTCGTGAAATCCATTCTAGAATTATAAGAGATCCTATGTTTGACAAAGATTGTTAAATATTTCTGATGAATTTATATTTTCTTCTGTTCACAGTGTCAGCCAAACCAAGACCTCACAGTGATGAATATACAAAGAAGATTCCACCTCCTAAGCCGAAACGAAATCCAAACACTCAGTTAAGCACATCTTTCGATGAAACTTACATCAAAAAGCATGGCCCTATGAAGACACCACTCACTAGGGATGCGTCCTTGTCACAGGTCAGCAGTCCTGCCCCAGACACAGAGGAAGAAGAGCCTGTTTATATTGAAATGGTTGGGAATATACTCAGAGACTTCAAAAAAGATGAAGATGACCAAAGTGAAGCAGTCTATGAGGAGATGAAATACCCTATATTTGATGATGTAGGCCAAGATTCAAAATGTCAATGTGAATATGACCATCACACTTGTTCTTCTCAGTGTGCTACTCCCACAGTGCCTGACCTCGATTTCACCAAGACTTCAGTGCCATCAACTCCCAAGGGCTTGCTTTGTGATATACCCCCACCATTTCCAAATCTGCTTTCTCACAGACCTCCACTGCTGGTGTTCCCACCAGCACCAGTGCAGTGTTCCCCAAATTCTGATGAGTCTCCTCTAACTCCGCTAGAGGTCACAAAGCTTCCTGTTTTAGAAAACGTGTCTTACATAAAACAACAAGCTGGAGCTTCTCCATCTTCCTTGCCACCTCATACACCAGGCCATCAAAAACTGGAGAAAGAGCAGATGGTATCTCATGGAACTAGCACCCCTGGGCACACTTCTTCACCTCCTCATCCTTCTACCTTATATAGAACACAGTCTCCACATGGTTATCCTAAAAGTCACTCTGCCTCACCCTCTCCTGTCAGTATGGGTAGGTCTCTTACCCCTTTAAGCCTCAAAAGACCTCCACCTTATGACTCTGTACATTCAGGAAGTCTCTCAAGAAGCTCTCCATCAGTGCCTCATTCTACAGCCCGAAATACATTGCAAGAAGGAGGGAAGATGGTAAATGTCTCAGTCAGTACCTACGGGTCATCATCTCAGAGCAGTTCCCGTTCTCGGACACCTACCAGTCCTCTGGAGGAATTAACCAGCCTCTTTACCTCAGGACGAAGTCTCCTGAGGAAGTCCTCCAGTGGCAGAAGATCTAAGGAACCTGCAGAAAGTAAGCTCTTAATGCAATTATTTTTCTCATTCTTACTCATAGAATAACAGCTTCCACTGTATTTTACTAAATCTGATACTTGGCTAAAAGCAAATACTGCAGAACTCTGAATTCCATATATAATTGTCTTGTAACTAGAAGAAAAATGATTTTATTAAAACTGTCAATGTTGTTAAAGTTAGCATTTGTATTGTTATATCTTAAAGATTTTTAAGCATGTGTACCACACTACAAAATCTTGTCAGACAGGTGTACAATTAATGGCTTGGTCTTCCAACAGGAGTCAGTTTTCATTAACTTTTCCAGTCACAGCGGTCCCATGTGAGTTGGGATCTTCTCAGTATCTCACCTTCTCAATTTTGCAATGGATGTTAAGATGATTGTCTGAGCAACTTCTAGTAAAATATCTAGACAGTAGTTTATTTGGGCCTCTACTGATCACCCTTAACTTTGCCTGTAATCACTATGGACATGGTAGAAACCAGAGGTACCAGCTTAAAGCATTTCTCCCCTTCCCACTGCCTCCTCCTGTCCTGTGCCACAGAATATCTTCAGCTGTGACAGTGAGACTGTGAATCAATATGAAAACCAACATGACCTAAAACACGTTACACACACACAGAGGAAAGGATGGGAGGAAATTGTGTAGAAAAACCTTAAGCCAATATTGACTTTGAGTACACTGTATCATAAGACCATTGTCCCATGTGTATTCAGGTATACACAAAGCCCTTTTCCTGAGCTAGTGAAATATGGAAGCTCCTAATGAAATCAGCAGAAGTCACAGGTGTGAGTGAAAACAGAATCTGGCACCAGTATTTCTCTTGAAAATAAGTGTTCCTGTTCAGTGGTCAAAAAGACAGTGTCTTGCAGTGGGACTCAGCCATAACATCTTTTGTCTGAGGGCAAAGTCTGCTCAGTATGCTCTCTCTTGTGACTTCCTTAAAATCACTTTATGACTTTGTAATCTTAATGCCTGCCTAACAGGAAAGCTCTTTTCAAAGAACAACCAATTTTACTTTTGTGCAAGTGCTACATTTTACCTATTTGGCAGCTGTAAAATGACAGACTGTAGTGGCTTTTGTCTGTTAAAAGAAGGTATTCTTGTTTCCAGGCTAATAAATTAATAGAGATTGGAGATGGATTTTCCACTGATTGCGTTTACACTGCTCTGTTTCATTACTGATAGCAGTGAGGTCAGGGCTGAACTTCCTCACTTTGGGACATACTCAGGGGACTCACAAGAGCACTGCTCTAGTATTCATGGACAGTGCTTGCCTGCTTTTCACCTCTGCTTTTCAATCACAGGCATTCCAGGCTGCTGTGGCCAGGTTACCTTGGTTTGCCTAATGCTTGTAGTGCAGAAGCTCAAGTGAGCACTGGTTGATCACAGGGTGCCTGAGGTATCAGTAAGTGCACTGGCATCCTTCTAACACATCTCCTTGGTAAACCACTCAATTGAGTCCTTTTTTTTATGAGGATGTGTTTTAGCATTTATAAATAATTGTGTAGTTGATGTGGTAGAGAGATTTTGGCAAAGTGCAAACAAGTCTGAACATTAGTAAACATAATTCTTACTGATAAGTCAGTAGAAATTCTCTCTAAACTCCAAGCTACGCCAGAGCTAGCGCTGAGTCTCATAAATGTGATGATTACATGCTTACTGATGTAGGCAGAAGTACTAGGTTTGGAAACTATGGAAATACTTGTAATGAATCTGCCAAGTCCTGGGAAATTTCAGGAAATCGATGTGTGTCTTTCTCATATATAACTCCAAAAAAATCTCTGTATTCCACTTGACTGAAATAGAATGCAGACTATCAAAGGATATTTCAGTGATATACTTAAAATAAATCTTGCCCTGTGGATCTGTATCAAGAACAGCTTTCTTATTGGTCTCTCAAGGAGCATTCTGATTCCTCCTTAGGAAGTAGGAATGTCCTTGTCACTGGTAGTAGTAATGTAATTGGTAATGGTAATACAAAAGAGTCATGAAATAGAAACAGTGTTCACTTATTTTAGGGACAAAGCATGCATTTTATAAATGGAGTCTAGTGGTGAAAAGACTCTGGAGTACAGCTGTGTTGAGTAAATGAACAGACTGCCTATCTAATCTGATTGTAATTCATCTGGTATTTACAGTGTGACTTAATCTCATGGGATTACTGCACTGAGGAAGGATCAGGTTTGTGCTCAGATATTGTAGAGGTAGAAGTCCTTTTAAAATGCATTGAAAACACATATAGGGCTAACATTCCATGTCCTGCAATTTTGCATTGAAATGATCTACCATAAAGAACAAACAAACAAACAAACAAAAAACCAACCCTAAATTGTGGAATTTGAAAGTAGAATCCACCAAACTGTCACATTTATACACTGTGATAATAGGTAGTGATATCAAGCGTAGATGGACTAATCATAAGATGTGTTGAAGAAATCTTGCTTCTGTAAATCACACTGGAGGCTTAAAGTAATTCAGTTTTGGATTAGTTTTTTAAGCTATGGGAGAGCAAATGCATAGCATGGGACTTGTGGGGACTGCCATGTTTTTATACTTGTCACTTCAGTGTAATTTGGTTTCAGCATAAAGAACAAATTCCAGAATCCAGAGGCTAATAAACAAACAAAGCAGAAGCTAAGTGGCTCTTATAAAATTGTGCTAGGAAGCTAAGAATATGTGCTTCTAAACTATGAAATTATTCTGAGCACATCTCATTGAATCCTCTAAGATTCAGCCCCCTGTGACTTGTCTGAAGCTCTCACTGCCATATGCTAGTTCCCCAAAAAAGCACAATCCTACATTTTATATTCAGCTGAGTGTATTTGGAAAATATTGCAGCAGTTACAGAGAAAATTCTCTCTCATCTTTATTGTTATTACTGCAACTGACTTTGTGGAAATTTTGCACTTGAGTCCAAATTCAGAATTTATTCACTGTCTTTTAGTTTGTAGCAATTTTGAGTGGGTTTCTTTTTGAGGAAAGAGACTGCACAAAGCTTATTTCCTCTGAGTTAAAGCTGCCCTGCTCCTCCTTTGTGCATTATTTTCTTTGTTCTGGCATTTTCCCCTTATTTTCTCCTTCCATTTTATTACTGTAGAGTTCATTGGAATTAGATTAGTGGGAAACTGGGATAAATCAGTGATACAAAGGAGACTGTGACTTCGGGGCCACATTTTCTGAAGACTGGAGATTCTGCTGAAGCCTCAGCCCTGTTACTCAGCTCACTCAGCATCCGCTGGCTGCAGTTGCAATGTGCATATCTAGATTTTATAGGTTGTTCACTTATTGTGCTGTGTTCTAGTAAAAGTTCTCTTGTGTGCTGTTAACATCTTAAATATGCATTGAGGCACAATTATGAAGGTTGAGAGAGAAGAACAAAGGAAAATAAATTGTAAGGCCAAGTCAGAAATGAAAATGTAGAAGATGATCACAAAGAAAGGCAGAAAGATGGAGAGAAACCTACCGAAAACTGAAGAAAGATGTCAAGCATGAAAATTGTGAAGGAGTAGAAAAGATAAATATTATTATTCATCAGTACCTGTGTGAGGTAACGTGGTTGCATGCCCAAACAGTTTGCAGAGCCCTACAAAACATGATTTCAGAGTCTAAGGGAAAGCTGTTCAAAAGGTATCACCATCATCTGCTTTCCTTGTGGTACACTGCAAACTTTTCTAATGCATTTGGAAGATGTGTGCCCACTGTTACGTGCTCTGTTGAACAAGTTCCCTTTGCTTTCAGTGTATGCACTGTCTGTATTACCCATGTCCTTCATAAAGATGGAATGAGGAAGAGAGGGAGAGAAGGTGAGAACAGTGTTCAGATTTTGGGGGATGTCTGCTGTCTTTTCTGCACCCCAGAGATGTGTAGCGCTGTGGAAAAGTATCAAACTGATGCTTTTGCATGTAGGCATACCCACACACTGAAAAGCAAGACATGGAGAAGCTGCTGGTGCGTATCTAAACTGCACTTACCCCAAGGCAGTACATTTTTTCTGGGTGAAATGACTGTGAACCCTTTCCAGGGGTGACCAACCCTCTCTGTGTGTTGGTTGTTTTCATTTGTTAAAACTTCAGTTTCCTCCTAACTTCCTTGGAACTTCATGCCTGTTTTGAGCTAATATTCAAGTATTCCTCCTAATGAATTGCAGAACATAATAGTCATCTCTGTTGTGTGTTCTGTGTCTGTCCATGGCACATAAGATTAGCTCACAGTGCAGGGCAGCTTGGTGCTGATTCACGAGCTTTGAAGGGCTTTGCACCTTGTTTTGGTTTTTGCCTGCAGAGTTTCACTCTTGAGCTTTAGTCACAGATAGGGAGGAAATCTGTGAATGTGCTACTTTGAAAATTCAGTTGAAATTCAGTTGAAATTGGGATGATAAGATTTCTTGTTCCTGGTTGGTGCTCACTGCATTAGGAATCTAAAATATTTTATTATAAACTGGCAAAAAGCGTGTAAATGGACTGAAGGAGAGGGCAGCCTATGCTGATACCTCACCTCCCTCTCAGTGAAAAATTTCCCCTGGACATCTAGTCTAAATATCCTCTCCTTTAGTTTAAAATCATTCCGCTTTGCCCTATTACTATCTGCCTGTGTGAAACATTGATTTCCCTCCTATTTATAACCTCTTTAAGTACTGAAAAGCCACAATAAGGCTTCTTCTGAGCCTTCTCCAGGCTGAGGAAGCTCAGTTTCCTCAGCACATCTTCATAGCAGAGGTGCTCCGCTGAGCATCTTAGTGGCTCTCCTCTGGACCGGATCCAACAGCTCCATGTCTTTCTTGCTCTGGAGGCCCCAGGCCTGAATGCAGATCTCTAGATGGAGCCTCATAAGGGCAGAGTAGAGGAGAACAATCCCTACATTCCCATGGCTACTATTCTTCTTCTGATGCAGTCCAGAATACCGTTGGCCTTCTGGGCTGCAGGAGTATCCTGCTGCCTCATATTGTTTTTCATCTACCTAAGTTGTTCTCGGCAGGGCTATTCTTCAGGAGTTGCTC